AGAAATCACTGAGTATGGAGCCAAGTGGCATTTCCTGACCAGGATGAAGAATAATTAATAGAATAGTTAATGTCTCATCTAATGAGGGGGCTCCAGTGTTACCCTTCAGCACAAGAATTAAGCACTGAGTTGTTTCTGGACTTCTGCCTTCCTTGCACAAGAGGTTTTATCGTTGGTCTCACAGGCAGCATTTCCCAAGGCTCTATTCCATGTGCTGGACACTGCACACCTGGTGAAGTACAGAACAGGAGAGATGTGCATGCAACTCCTCAGGCACAGCCTGTGTCAGTTCTCATCAGCCATTTACTCCTTTTAAACTGGCACAGCTCAATCTCAATTCTCAACACTGCTCAAGAAATATTTTTCCCTGGAATGCTGCTCCACAAGCAAAAAAGGTGGAAGAAAAGAGCTGCTTTGTTGTGAGGAAATGCTCTACCCTGTGTCAATGGAGAAATGGCACACATGAAGTTTAGAGACAGAAGTATAAGCACCAGAATTCTCTGACAATTCATAGTCCTGGAAACGAGGATAAAGAATTGGCTCTGAGCTTCTCCTGCAGAGAGATTCCCAGTGAAGCATCTTTAAAGAGACCAGCAAGAGCAATTCAATGAAATAAAAAAGACAGCAACTGCTGGAGATAGAGAATCTAACAATTTAATGGAGTTTTTTCATTGACTGTAGACAGCACAAAGAGTTTAGAAGCAGAAAGTTGTGAGAGCTGAAAAGTTGGAAAATAACAAGGCAATAACAGACAGAGAACGAGTCTGAAATAGAATCAGGCTGCTGGAGAAAATGAAATGATTTGTAAAGACTTGAGTAGAGATGCCTGTACAATAGGAAGCAGCTTTGTGGTGTATTTTGACTTCCTTCCCTCCTTTGAAGAACCTTGTAAAATTGTGTGCTGCTGAAGGAATGGCAACAGGAAGAGGGGAAGGATCTGAGATGCCAGGGGAATAAATAACTACAAGTTCAGGTTTGGCATTCACCTGACAAAGCTGCAAGAAGAAAACTCTACACATTATTTCTTTGTATTAATTTGAAAATCTTGGCTGCTTCTTGGAAGTACCCAGAAGTCAG